GTACCCTGCGCCCCGTCACCCCACCGCCCAATAACCCCGCCCACCCGACCGCACTCGTGCTCATGCAGGTGAGTACTATCCTTGGAAAGATATCGTGGCTTTCCATGATGGCAACACGGGCAAGGCGCTGGAGTTCGTGGCACGACGCCGCATGGAACCTACCGGGACCCCACTGCACTAAGTCATGTCCTGCAGTTCGTTGGTGCCGCGTGGTTGTTGCGATTCCAGTGTGTTCGGACATCCGCAGGACATCGACAGACCGCAACGATGCCACCATCGAAACGTTTCTGTACTACGGGAGGCAGAAGAAAAGCTACACCAAGAAAACTATTGTGGCTCGGTGTATCATGCGCATGATCTAGTGCATTTTCGTGTGCCTGCATCCAAGGCAGTCATGAATAGTGTTATCGTGCAAGAACCCATATTGGTCGCACCTGTTGCAACCAGTCGTCAGGACGATATCGCCATTACCATGGGCTGCTCAGCTGCCTATGCTTCTCAAGTCGCTTCGCAGCTGGACGCTATGAGCGGTGCCTTGCCGATCCAGGGCCAGGCTGGTCCGTCTGGGCTGAATCCGCCGGATGGGCCGAATCCGCCACCGCCACCAACCAACTCGAAGAACGGCGGGAAGCAGAGAAAGACCAACCCTGCTGATGCGGCCGCTGAAGGCACTAAGGCAGGCGACGGCAAGGACGAGCAGCCCAAAAAGAAGCCGAAGGCAGCTCCAAAGGAGGCCCATCGGTAGCTGTTGCCCGAACACAAGTGTTGTGAGCTGAGCGCTCCCTGCCCATGCAGGGTTCTGACTTGGAGCTTGTCCTGAGCACGGACGACGTTGCATCTTTCGTGAAGTCCTGGGTTGCCGCGGCGAACTCGGCTCAGGGGCAAGCCGCGACCCTTTGTGCGGAGTGCCTCGGTCATGACAGATGTTTCATCGTGCAGTGACGCATGTGGAAGCCGTATATGATATTGGTTGTGGTGCGCTGGGCTGAGGTTGGAGGTGCTGGAGAGCCAGGACAAATTGATGGGAAAGGTTAAGGATTGTGCCGAAGGCATTGGAGCCTGCCGCAAGAAGCTGCAGCTCATGGGGACCGCGCCCGTGGCGGCAGATGTGCAAGCGGCCCTCTTAGAAGCGACTCGGAGAGGACATGCGATCTGCTGTTATATGCGGTGCTTGTGATTGATTTGCCTGCACGGTATACAGCGACACATCCCAGGCCTCTGTCTACGTGGAGGGCTTCAAGAAGCACACTCGAGTGGCGAGTGGTTTGATTCTTGCTTGAGATAGTGGTCTGTTAGCAGCATAGAAGCACATTTGCCGAGAGACGAATGTTCGACTCAGGATCGCAGCGGAGAGACGCCCCGCAAAGGGTGCCAAGAAGGCCAAGCCATCCGTCAAAGCGGATGCCCAGGCCTAGAGCTGTGGACCGTGATGCAGACCGACGGCTGGGTCCTTTTGTAACCCAACTGATAAGCTACATATATAGGTGGGCTGTTAATTGAGGCAGGTAGGTCCGTAGATAGGTCGATAGAGAATAAGGAAACCTCCTGACTTAGCGCAGACCCCGAACCTTCGCAGCCATACTCAACCGATTGAGGCATGTCCTGGTAGCTCGGGCAATGTTTTTGTGTTGTGCTTAGTTTTGGCTAGATCTCTAACCATACGTAATATTGTTTAGATAGTAGCCTATATACAGTAATATATACATATATGCATATATATATATATGTGTATATATATATATATAAGGCTAGGTATGGTCTGTATATGGTGCTACAGAGTAGTAGTGTTTGCGGTAATCCTGATGCATTATTATACGCTTCGGTTGTTTTGGTGGTTGCTGCATGTTGCCGTGGTTTATCAGACTTAAACAAGATGTGCCATCGCGACTGCCGAGCCGTCGGCATCCGATCCTGGATCCAGGTCTCGTTATTTTCCATTGCTTCTTTCAATCTGGCTGATGAGGGTACTGCTGTGCTCTGCACTGCCGTATATCGAGTGCGAGCGGGGGAACGGCCAGGAGCATGGGACCACATGCTCATATTTTGCGAAGACTGTGCGCACTCAGATTATATCCTACTGTAAAGTGATGTCATCGAGATTCTGGTAGCCATCATCACAGATTCCACATAGGTGCAGCCTTTGTTGTTGTGGAAGTGTGTGTTGATGTGTGTAATGTAAGCTGTAACATGACACTATCGTGTTTTGCAGTGTTGTGCGCTTGTCGATCGGGGTCCAAGTGTGAACTGGTCTTGCCTTCGATTTCAAGTGCGACCAGTCCCCAAAACGTGGAAGAGAGCAGTAGGCAGTTCTGTGTCAGATGTGTTTGAGTTGAAGCGAATGGCATATGACAGTCGAGCATGAGCAAACCATTGGCATATATTTCAAGTGCTTCGATGGCCCGGCTTCTCCAGCAGCACGTTAGCTGTTGATTTGTATGACTTCGTCGCAGTCGAGCAAACATACATAGGATGTTCCCCCCCCAAACCTCCATACAACCGACACCACCAACCACCACCAAGAGAAACACCAACATCAACAACACCGCGGACTGCCACCAGAAGTATACCGTGGCCAACACCACCACCTGCATATAGTGTAGTCTTATGCGTGACTATATGGACCCCATAGCATATATAGTGATGTATACATATGTGTATGTGTATATATCACCCGATGCCAGAGCTATGTAATACGATCTTTGTCTCTCTGTCGACGATAAAAACGTATATATGTGCAGACACATACACACACACTATCTAGATCATACACACTCTGCCGTGCATGCGGGGAAAACTTCGTTGCCCCAGCATCATGCCTTCGGCTTCTTGTATCATGGAGTCTCCCAGCCTGGTTTATGCCGCTGCTGAAGAGACTGCAGGGTTTGGCGAAGAGCCTTCAAAATACGAGCGGTGGCAGTGCTGATGGTGTGCAGAGAAGACCATCGAGCGCTGATTTTTCAGTGCAGCAAAGTGCCCTGAGTAGAACAATTGGTTGGCACGTGGGCCGCGGGGCAAGCTCTGGACTTTTGCAACAAGTTGCATCTGCGGCTTTGGAAGAGTCGGGTGCTTCCCATGTGACCGCTAGCGCCTTGTCGAAAATGTTTCTGTAGTTTGAATGTCTCATGACTGATGTTGGATGTCTCACGACTGATGTTGGAAAACTCACGCATGCGAAGCTACGGTTCCAAGGTACAAGGTGGGCTGCGACATTAGGTGCTGCCGGTCGTCGTCCACAGCACATCGAGGAACGGCTGAGCAAGGCTGTATCTTCCTCGAAGAGTGATGTTGCATGGTCTGAATAAAAGACCATCAGTGTATGTTTGAATAAGGCCTATAAAACATTCGTACCTTTCCTGTAAAATATATCTGAGGCTCCACTGCGATGCCCCTTGAGCGCAGTGTCTATCTTGATGAAAGATGTACGTGCCCACGTGCGGCATCAACAAGGCCAGAATCGACTGCACAGATTTCGGTCGAGGCGAGGATTGCTAAGGGCACGCCCGCCCAAGAAGAAGAGTGCCAGGGCCCAGGACCCTGGCGAGAAATCTTTTCAGAGTCTGCCGGTGCTGCTGCCCCATGTTTTGTTTAAGAACATGGTTTGCTCCGGCTTAATCGGCGAGCTGATTCTTGGTGGCATATAATATAGTGCATAGATGCCGTGCTGCGACGTGGTGATGTGTTCAATGCTCCACCCAATAACTAATAAGGGCCGGAGATGTCGATTGGGTGGAGTGGTGGAAGAAGGCCAAGAGTGAGCCATGGGGGATGTGCCGTGCCCGCAAACAATAAACATGATGTTGCGTGCCGTTATATATATCCAAATTTAAGTACATTCCTCTGCCATTGAAGGAATCACCCGGTGCAAAGTTGGCCGGAAGAGGCCAGGCGCAAAGCGGTGGCCGTGTCGATACACGGAGACGAGGGGACTGGGAAGAGATCCAAAAGTGTCTTGGTGATCTCCTGGTCCCCCCTGGCCATCCACCGCGGCGACTCCATGTTGCAGAAATTTCCGTATTGCGTGCCTCGGTGTTGCTTTCACTCCAGGAACACACACGTGCGTGTATATATGGGCGGGACACAAACCAATTATGTGCCGAGGTTGTGCGAGCGGACAGATTTGCTTACGAGAACAGCAAGAACATGACTCTCGAAGGATTGCAGCGCTACCTCGCAGATTCTTTTAAGACTGTCGGCGACCCCAACTGCGAAGGCCAACACGGATGGACTTTGCACCCTGCAGTGTGCAAGGGGGACTGGAAACACAAGAGAGAGTGGCTACAGCAAAGTCGCCATTACAACAACATGGCTAGCAAGGCTCCTCGTGCTCCTGACACCGGCAAAATCTGCCCGAGATGTTTGTGCGATTCCAGCACACCTGGAAAGCACTGGGCGGACATGCAGGAGGGCTTCGACAATTTTGCGGATTTGCAGCAAGCTGCGACTGACAGCACCTGAGCAAACACAATGTCCAACTTGACTTCTTTACATGCCATTTATCGCATGCGGTGCTGCTTCGTGTGTCTTAGGCGTTGGCCCGGGCATCCCGCCACCAGGCTATTGACTTATGCTTGCAGGTTTCTATAGAAGTCTGCGGGGTATAAGGCTGCAGAGTGCAGATGCGTAAGGGTCGTGATGGTCTTGTGCGGCGAAGTATCATTTAAGGATGTGGAGAATTCCTGGCTACCATCACACGTGTGAATATCCGGATCTGCTCCACTGCCTGTATCTGGGAACAGTCAGAGATGCCACGGCGTCTCATCTTATGGAGCTGGCCAGATATTCCCCGCAGCTGCAGGCCTACGAAACATGGGATGAAAGATTGCACCAACTGCATGGCGACTTTCAGATGTGGTGCAGAGAGCACCATTTCCGGCCCAGCCTTCTTGATGGACTGAGTCACCTAGCTACACCGAGCTGCTCGTGTTTGCGGGTGCTTAAAGCGCTGCCTGCATGCGATCTTGGGTTTTTTGGATGTGCTAGCTGCCACTCTGCAAATCTGAGGTCTGGTCAAGCTGGGGATCGATGCGATCTCACTGGATTATCCGCTGGGACCAGGCAAGGGCTGGACCAATCGCGTGCTGTAGCTTGGCAGAGAGAGAGTGATGAGGGGCAGCGAGAGCGACAGCGAAGCCGGGCACAAAACGACCGCTGTGCCCAGGATGGCATACTTGGCCGAGCGGTTTTCTGCCGCTTTGCCTATTCCGATTTTGCATATGTGCGGATGCGCGGTCCACGTTTTCAGGTGAGTTTATTTCAGGAAAACAGCTAACATTCAGGTGCTTTCCGAATCGGTTCCCGAGCTTCGATTGGCGGCAGTGAATGCCTGGTCGATAACAGCCTTCTCGAATCTGCTGGACAAATGCCAAATCTGGCTGACGGATGATGAAGCAAGGCTGGCACAACAGAATCCTTGCTGCATCGGTGCTGCACGCTGCCTGCAGTTCCCAATTGTTATGCCGTTATTCTGTGATGATCCAAGGCTCGGCAGATGGTATTGCCACTCCTACCTGGCTTTGGCTGCGCAATACCTCGAGATGCTGGTACCACGGCCTCTCGCCTAATCATATGCAGTCTCTGCCACATGTGAATACATACACGGCGATGTGGAGTGTTGTAACGCGGTCACGACTATAATCAGAAACTCAGGTATAAAATCAGACCAAAGTTTCACCAATATCATTGCGAAGTCGTATGCCGATTGGCCGAAAGCCGTCTCAACCCTCGGTACTCAGGATGCAATCTCGAAGAGGATTTCATAGGAAAGATAATGGCATGCACCAAAGGGGCAGTACATGCAGCATCGCTGTCGACGAGAGTACTTCAAAGATGGTTGCTGCAGTACAACTGCTGGTTGGCCGGCGGTCGCTGAAAAAAAGGCGGATCGAGCAGCTTTTGAAATTTTGCATAGCTTGACATATGTTGTCTCGCCCAAATACTATTTCGGGCAACATCTGAGTGCCGAGCAAGATTTTGCATAGCTTGATATACGCGATCCCGCCCAAATAACATTTCGGGCAACATTGCTTGGGCGCGCAGAACTCAATCATTTGTGAATCCCTAAACCCTCACCCGTAATTTAAAACCGTATATACATATATAGCCTATGTATTGTTATATACCCCTAAACTATATAGAAATCCTTTCATGACATGCCAGGTGATTTAAGGGTTCGTTTATTGGTGCTTGGCGACCTGGGGTGTCGGGTTTGTTGGGATTTGCTGTTTGCGGGGTCTTGTCGGCTGGGGTTTGAGTTTAGGGTTTGGGGCCTCGCGGACTTGGGGTTCAGCTAGGAGGTTTCGGGTCTTCGAGCTTGGCGTTAGGGAAGTTTATATATATAGGGCTTATATTGGGGTTTACGGTTTCTGGTTTAGGAAGTGCTGTGGGGTCTGAAGTTTCGGTTTTAGGGTTTGCGGGGTCTGGGGCTTATAGAGGGCTTGCGTGGCGTGTATCGCGGTATATAGGGTTTATATAGGGGTTTATATGTTTCGGATTTAGGGTTTGGCGTTTAGGGTTCCGCGCTTACGGTTTCGGGCTTATTAGGTTCAGGTTTTAGGGGTTTGGGGATTCGGCGGTAGGGTGTTTGGGTTTTCAGGTTTTGGGTTTTGGGGTTTGAGGTT